AGATCCACTGTCAAAGTTAACACCAGTACCGAAGGGGTAATATGGGTAGAAAGTGGTGAGAAGAGAGAAATGCAGTATGAATGCAAAAATTCCTAGAAAGAAAAGGAAAGCCAAATACAATACGCGACGATTAGATTAAAGAATTTTCCAACGGCTTTCTATTCAATTTTATTTAGAAAATGTAGGTTTTAGAGTCAATTCCTAATTGCAACCACTTATTTATTAAAAATAAGCGGGGATTAGTGGATGCAGAATCCCCTGTGAAGTCGCCAATCTGTTTTTGCCCCAAGAGATCCCAAATATCCCCGGAAGGGACCTCGGAAAACTTTTTGGTTTTGGTTTGGACCTCGGAAAACTTTTTGGTTTTGGTTTGGAAATGTGATTTTTTTATTTAATAAATGGTGACAAAACCTTTTAGGAACGCAATGCCGATAAATCGGTCTTATAAAATCTGAAATCTTTGAGTCGCCACCTCATTATTTTCGGCAATGGGGACCTGTTTTCAATTTTTAATTTTATAAAAAAGTGACTTCATTTAACCAATTATTTAAGGCCAATTATTTTTGAAAAGAAACTGGTCAGGCGCAACCGTGTGGCGGTTCTAGGTAAAGGGAATTGGGTGTTACGTTGGAAGCCGACGCCCGGAAAACCGGCCTCTGTTTAACCTACAATTTCTAATTGATTTTATTTTAGAAAAACCAATTTTATTTAATTAAACCCAACCCGATTAAATCGAACAGAGTTCCTATGTGAAAAATTAATTAGTCGCCCCAAATAGATTCATTCATTGCATTCATACTCATTCATAATCACATAAATCATCCACCCATAGTAAAAATAATTTAAAAGACCCACTCTTGCCTTATGGTTAAAGGCGGGCCACAAACCGAATTTCCAATATAATTATATTTAACTAAAAAATAAACCCTAAAATCATATAAACATGCATAATAAAATATTAACCTATTTGATATGATTAAATCATAATCTGCCCATTATTGGTTATTTCTTGAATTAAAAATTAAACATTTATTTTTATTTAATTACATGAAATTAGATAAAAAAATAAAAATATTCTGGAACCCTAGAACAGTTGCGTCACGCAACTGTTCTATGAAGAACAGTTGCGTGACAACAGTTGCGTGCACGCAACTGTTCCTAATGAACGAACAGTTTGCGTGACGGACTCCTAGCTGCGTAACGCATCTTGTTCGTGACTTTATCAAAATTTCAGATTTATTAATCATTTATTAAACATAATATTAAATAAAACATAAAAATGAAAATAAAAAATTACGCACATTGCGACGCCGAGTCTATTGGAGTGGTGATAGGGCACAGGACATACGAACAGTTCCGTCACGCAGTGGTCAGCGCAAAGTCGACTCCTTTTGGACATGACAGTTGCGTCACGCAGGTAGTAGCTGTGTGAAGCAGCTGCTCTGGTCTGTAAACTACCTTTCCATAACTTACCCTTTTTACGTTGTTCTTTAATCACAGTTGTTTAAATATTACTCTCAGAAATGTCAATAACAGGCAAGAAAATTATTTAATCAATACCAAACTAACCATGCTAATAAAACAAGAATATTTATAAATAAGCAACTAAAAATAAAGAGGGAGGGTTTAAATAGTTACCCCTAACCCTCAGCATTACGAAGGATTGCACGTGGTCTTAGAATTGATTTAGGAATACGGGTTTCACGATTCAGAACGCATTCTTTGGCCAAGTTTTTAATAATAAAAAACCTTTCTTTCTTTTCTTTTTTCTTTTTTTTGTGACTTTTTGTTTTGTGTTTTCAAATCTATGGATCTCTTAATGGCTTTGATCTTCTTCAAAGAATTACTCACTGGAAAATTTCTTGGAGAAAAACCCTAGCTGCACTTAAAGATTCTTACTAAGTCCAAAAATGCCAAAGTCTAGAGAAAAAGTTCCCGCTTTAACATAAAAAATGTTGGTATTTAATACTGGGGTAGGCCAAACAAGAACAGAGCTGCGTCCGCAACTAACAAGCTGCGTGACGGACCGCGAGCTGCCGTGATTGTTAGCTCACTTTTCGTAAGTTGCCGCGCATCCACACAAACAGTGCAAACCGTTACCAGCGGGCCTGTACAAGTGATAAGTCATCTTTGGTTAGAGGTTTGCGTGACGCAACTACTAGTGCCCGTCATGCAACTTAAATAGCTGCGTGACGCAACGCCTAGCAAACAGGTCCAGACTCCTTGAACCCGGTTTTGATTCATTTTTTTTGGTTTAAAGGCTTTCTTTTGGTTTAAAGGCTTCTGGTTGACCCTGATTCCTTATTCCTCATCCCTATATCATCATCGGGTTAGGCGGGGGCATAAAATCACGCATCAACACCATGTCTTCGGGAAGGTCAAGTACATAGGCATTATTATTAGTCTTCCTAAGTATCTGAAATGGCCCAATCTTTTTCGAATCAAGCTTCTTCTGTCCTTCGTCATGTTCCTTGCGAAGTAAACCATGACCAAATCACCCTCAGTAAAAGATTTATAACGTTGGTGCTTATCAGTCGCAGCCTTATATTTTTTTGGCAGTAGTCATGAATTGCTGCGCTTGCTTAAACACCTTCACATGCTTGATAGCCAAGTTATTAGCTGCAATACTCTTCTCTACTCCTATTGGAAAGGAAAGGAGGTCAAGGGTATAGGCTGCTACCTTCCGGTAGACAATTGCAAAAGGTGACATCTTGGTGGAGCTATGAATAACACTGTTGTAAGCAAATTCTACTTGGGCAAGAGCAAGATCCCACATCTTCTTCTTTTCACTGCAAATGCACCTAAGGAGATTACCAAGAGTCCGGTTCACCCAAGAGTCCGGTTCACCACTTCAGTTTGACAATCAGTTTAGGGGTGAGCGGCACTACTATAGTGAAGTTGAGTGTTGTATCTTTTCCACAAAGTTGTCCAAAAGTGAGCTAGAAACTTTGTGTCTCGATCAAATGTGATAGTTTTGGGAATACCACGTAATCGAACAATCTCCTAGAAGAATAACTTTGCTATATGTGAGGCATCATTAGTTTGCTTACAAGGAATAAAGTGTGCCATCTCGAAGAACCTGTCTATAACAACAAAAGTAGAGTCAGCTCCGCATTGAGTTCGTGGTAAATCCAACAAAAAATCCATAGATAAGTCCTCCCAAGGTTGTTCCAAATTAGTCAACGGAGTGTAAAGACCAGTGTTTTGAGAATGGCCCTTTTGTGTCTGGCAAATTGAGCATTTCTGGACTAGTTTCCCTGCTTCCTTTTTTAATTGAGGCCAATAGAAACGAGTCTCTAATCCCGCAATAGTTTTGTGTCGCCCCAGGTGTCCACTCAATCCTCCACCATGGACTTCTTTAATTAATTTTTCCCTGAGGGAAGACCGAGGGATGCATAGCCAATTTTCTTTGAAAAGGTACTCGTCATTAACTAGGAACCCGTCAGTAGGCTGTTTAGCTTCAATCTTAGTCCATATGTCAGCAAAGTCTTCATCTGAGACATAAAGATCTTTAAGAAATTCAAACCCCAGCTTCAATCTTAGTCCATATGTCAGCAAAAGTCTTCATCTGAGACATAAAAGATCTTTAAAGAAATTCAAACCCCACAAATCCTTGCTTAAATCGTGACCAACAAAAAGCTGCTCTCGGGCTGCTCAAAAAGCATCCGCAACTCGTGTTACAAAGTACCTGATTTGGTGCTCGATGACATAATAAAAGCACAGCATCCGCAACCGTGTTACAAGTACCTGATTTGTGCTCGATGACATAATGAAAAGCACCAAATTAAGTTGCCCAACATGCAAGCATCTTGCTCACTTTTTTTTGAGTTTGAAAATGAGTTAAAGCCTGATGATCAGTGTAAATAACGAATACGCCCCAACAAATAGTGTTCCCAAATCTTGAAAGCTCGAAAAACTGCATACCACTCTTGTTCATAAGTAGACCATTTCTGCCTAGCTTCATTCAACTTCTCACTAAAAAATGCAATAGGTTTTCTAAATTGAGACAAAACACCTCCAATTCCAATCCCACAAGCATCACAATCAACCTCAAACAGCTTATCAAAATCAGGTAAAGTAAGAATAGGGGGTGGAAGTAAGCTTATCTTTGATTTCTTTTAAAGCTCTTATTTGCAGCTTCAGTCCACACAAACTGTCGAACCCTCTCCTTCTTCAAGCAATCTGTGATGGGAGCGACGATACTACTAAAGTTCCTGATGAACCGCCTATAGAAAGTAGCAAGACCATGAAAGCTACGAACTTCAGTGATGTTCTTGGGAATAGGCCAATTTCGAATGGCCTCAATCTTTCTGTCATCAACATGAATTCCTTTCGAGCTAACAATATAACCAAGGAATAGGATCTGCTCTGTCATAAAGTTGCACTTTTAAGGTTGATGTACAACTCATTTTTCTGCAAAGCATCCAACACCCCTCGAAGGTGCTGAAGATGTTCTTCCTTGCTGCGACTAAAAATCAAGATGTCATCAAAGTAAACAACCACAAATTTGCACAAGAAAGGACACAAAACCTGAGTCATAAGTCACATAAATGTGCTCGGTGCATTAGTCAACCCAAATGGCATAACCAACCACTTATATAATCCTTCCTTGGTCTTGAAGGTAGTCTTCCATTCATCTCCCTTTTTGATTCGAATCTGATGATACTTGCTGTGAAGATCTATTTTAGAAAACACTATAGATCCTGACAGTTGGTCCAACATGTCCTCCAGACGAGGAATAAGGAATCGATTCTGCACTGTGATCTTGTTGACGGCCCTGCTATCCACACACATTCTCCAGGTCCCATCTTGTTGACGGCCCTGCTATCCACACACATTCTCCAGGTCCCATCCTTCTTTGGTACCAATAAGGCAGGAACCCCACAAGGACTAATGCTCTTCCGGATATGTCCCTTCTTCAGTAATTCTTCTACTAGTTCTTGAAGGATCTGGCTCTCCTTTGGATTCATTATATAATGGGGTAGGTTTGGTATCTTCGATCAAGGGATGAAATTGATTTGATGTTGAATGTCCCGCAAAGGTAGAAGTGTAGATGGTTCTTTAACTATTGCATGAAACTCATCTAGTAACTCTTTGACTAGTGGTGGTATTAGTGTCCCTTTATTAGGGACTGCCTCCGGTTTTATCAGCAATGCCAACGCACCTCTGGACTTCTCAATTGCACTAGATAATTCATGTACATTGGAAAAAACAGCTACTATGGATTTTCCCTCCACTTTAGAAGCTTTGGTAGAAGATCCAAAAGGTTCCACTTTAGAAGCTTTGGTAGAAGATCCAAAAGGTAAGACAATGATTTTCTTATTTTTTTTCCAAGTGAACATGTATGAGTTCTCTCTACCCTTGTGCAATGCATCTATATCAAATTGACATGGACGTCCTAATAGTACCTCGTAGGCATCCATATCCACAACATCACAATTAAAACAGTTTGAGTATGACTTTCCCATTGAAATAGGAACCTTACAAAATGGTTTACTTCAATTGTTGGACCCTCTTTAATCCACCCTACCCTGTACGGTGTAGGATGAGGTGCGATGGGTAAATTTAGTTTTTCAACCAGCTGCTTGGCTATCAAATTTTCACAGCTACAACTGTCGATAATAAGTCGACACACTGCTTCGCCAACCCGACATTTAGCTTGGAAAATTTTTCTCTATTGTTTCTCTATTGAGTTGCTTTCTTGTCTTGGAGAGCACAAGATTTTTTCGACGAATAACAAAAACGTGACCTCACCTTCTTCTAAACCAGCCCATGGATCCTTCATCTCTATCTGCTCTCCCTCTTCAAACCTCAGGCACCTCATCAACTACATTAAAATTGTCGACGCCCTTTCATTAGCCACCCTTCACTCTGGAACATATATTAGATGTATGAGCCGATTTTCTTGCAATGATAACAATAGTCTCCGGTTTGCTTCTGATATGGATCAACTTATTGTTGATTTGTCTGCATAGAGTGTCTGTTTCCCCAGGGTCTTTCTTTCTTCTGTTGAGGGCTGTTTGGAATTTGGGTTATTAGCAGGGATGTTTTTGCCTGAATCGTGCCACGAAATTCTCTATTGAATTGGTTGATTTTCGCGGATAATGAAATATTGTTGCTGAAGTTCTGATTACGATTAGACGGTTGTCGAGGGCTGCCGTTAATTCTATCTTCTGCGCGTTTGGCGCATCTACAATTGCATGAGTTGCCAATGTGAAAATTGCTAGCTACACCCATTAATACACATTATATCATGTCATTCCCCCTAAAATGGCAGCTACCTACTTGGATTCGATTTCAATAGTTGTCACAATGAGCCGTGTAATCTCAAAAATCTTTCGTGTACTCCATCAACCTTTCGGTTCCTTGAAAACAAGTCATGATACCTGTTATTGTGAATACTCAAATTTTGAGGCTCAAAAAGCCTGTTTTCCTGACTGCAAACAGTCCTGCCGGACGGAGGCTATTTCAGATAAGGTTCACCGAAAGTATGCCTATAGGTACTTGAAACGTCCAGAAACGATCTTACGAGGATCGCCCGAGAGACTTGGTCTTCGGCAATATTTTTTGAGTACGAAACTCCGAAAAAGCCTTTGGAATGATATAAACAGCGAGGTGGACAGTCCATCTGGGCGCAGCGCCCAGCGTCACTGGCAGGAGCGCCCGGCATAGTTTTCCCTAAATACAGCCCCAAATCGACAGTATTTAGGGACTCCGGTCTGTGTTGACGACGCTCTTTTCTCTCCTAACGCTCCTTGCAGTTCTGTCTACTGCTTTTCTGCATTTGTGTTAGGCTTTTATTACTCTGCTGTTGTGATATTGGTCCTAATTGAATTTTATTTAATTCAATATCCCCAAAGCGAGGAGCTTACTTAATCTCGGAAATTTTCAAACTGGAAGCTATAGAGTCTGCCATCCGGTTAAACTCGGTAATAATCAAATAGCGACAATGGCTTGCCCATTTTAATTTCAGGCATTTTGTGCGATATTCTCTTGCGTACTCAATTCTAATTAAATAATTAAAAATAACTGCAATTCACATCATCGTCATTTTTGGCCAGCAAATGGCCTTAAGTAAATAAGTTTAGGCTAAATGCCCCGGTTAATCAAAAATCGTCGCCGTATTTAATTGCTAAAAGCTCGAACAGTAATTGGCTAAAGCTCCTAGTTAATTAATAATTACTTGTGTAATTGCCTTTAGTTCGACAGTTCGGCCTAAAAAGTCCAATTTAATCAATAATTGTGGCTTTAAAAGCCTTAATCAATCACATTTTGGCGAACAAATCGCCTACAGCTTAATCAATTCACGTTTTTTGCAACCAAAATTGCCTCAGTTTAATCAATCACGTTGCAAAAAAATTGCCTACGGTTTAATCAAATCCGCCTTTTTGCGCAACAATTGCCGTGATAATTCAAATAACCATTTTTGGCGACAAATCCGCCCCAAATATCCCACCTTTTTCTTTGGCCATAAAATTGCTTAAATTACATTATCATCTTTTGGCATGAATGCCTTATCAAGTCTGGCGACAGATTTTCGACCCAACAAAACCCCTTATTGCACAAAGTGCCCTTAACACTCAGGGCGACCAAATTGTCTAACAATCAATCTTTGGCAAACAAATTGCCTTAATCAAAAATCAACCTTTTCGGCACAAAAATGCCCTTAATTCAACCATTTTTGGCGACAAAATAGCCCAAACATCATTTCGGCAATAATATATGACCCAATCAAAGCACCCTTTGCAAACAAATGCCTAAAACAGAAAATCAATCAATCTTGCGGCCAAGAGATGCCTAAAAAAAATGCACGAAGCATACACACCACTCATGGCATGAAGCATTACCCCTTCAAAATGCCTCTTGAATAGGCTTCATCGAACTATGTCGTCGGCTTGATCTCTCATTCAAACGAGAGTACGTAGTGCACGTTCGAGATTAACCCGAGCTGGCACAGTCTGAATCACCAAAACACTGTTTACTGGTCCAATTGTACAATTACTCTGCAAAGCCATTTACACTTAGGTTAGTTAATCAGCATGACATAGTCTCGGGAGTCCACCTCGGGTTCGTTATGATTGTGCCTTAAAACTCTTGGAAATATTAATCTAGATCTTAGGTTAATTAAAAATGGAGTCATTTTAGGGTTCTTTCTTAGTTTTCCCTTATTAAAAATTAATACTATTGGGTGGCGGAACTTCATAAAACACAGCATGTGAGCATACCTCGTTTCCAGCATAATTTTGCATTCGAGAAAGGAGCTTCAACATTCGGCAAAGCTCTGCTGGACCTATGTAATCATTTTGCATAAGTTGGAGAGCGTACAATTGCTTGCATCAACTAACCTGCCCTTCTTCAGTGGTATATTTTTTGTGCTTTATTTTGCAGCGGTTACTCTAGCACGAATCAAGGTGCTTCTTTCTTAAAATATGGGATAAAAGAAATGTTGAAGCTAATTGTAAAATTTTTAATTTAAAACATTTAAATTTTGTTGATTATATCTGCACGATGCAGAACTTTCGTCCATTGCATAAAAAACGAGATTTCAAATGAATTTCTTCTCTTACGTGTTCAAAACTTCTGAGTCTGGGGATAGCGAGTAGCGCTGCATCGCAGTCTCCTTGAGTTATTGTCGTACGGATATGCCAAAGCGTTCCTCCTTGTTACCACAAAAGACCATTCCCTAATCCTTTTGGGTGGTGGCCAGTTAGAATGAGTCATGCTCGTACTATTGGACCCACGTGCGAAACTCTTGTTGTTTCATCATGTGGTTATGGGTATACCACCTTTACTTCAAGGTTCAAGGTCCTCTTTATAAGCGCGAATTTTCTATTTGTGTCACAAGCTATTATAGAACCTATCCTTTAGGGGCTGTATGCACCCAATGATGTGAATCGAGTTATCTTAAAACTGATTTATACGTGAATTATTGTGGGTCGCATTTCATGACCATACTCTCATAAACATTAAAAAACATTTAAAAATGGAGCCAAAGATATTTTCTTTTTTAGTCATGCACCAATTGGACAAGGGAGTCGATCTACCTCCACATTCAGTACCCTAATAAACACAATACTTACCCACTGTACCCTAATCCAGCTACCTTATCCTTCAGTAGGCCCACTGTTCGAGTGCGCGTATCCCATAGAATTCCAGTCACACCTTTACAGTGCTATCCACCAACCTCACCAGGCTTTCACCAATTTCACCAACTTCAACTGCCTCTACCAATGACAATCACTGTGCTAAACATCCAAAAATCTCATGGAACAACTGGAAAGCCAGAATGGAGGCATAGAATGGATGAGGCATTAGCTGCCCAGAGAACTGCCCTAATAGACTGAAACTATGGTAGTTGGTAATGAAATTGGCGGCTTCCGCTGGGGAGGGATTCCTGCTTACCTCCAAATCAGGGACCTGCTGCTGGAACCGACGTCCTCAAACCCTGCCTTTAATCTCGCGTATGACATGCCTTCTCTATGATTACTGCTGCTGAGCTGAAAGCTTCAGAGAAATGAAAGGAATTAAACTGGGTTAACTCTTGGAAGAAGGTCAATCACTTATGCCCTTTAAAACACATAAGGAAGTGGTGGACTGATGGACTCCTTATCCTTGTTCCCTGAAGCAAGATTGTCGACAAAGTTCAAGATGGCCTAACATGGACAAGTTTGATAGAACCACTTTGTCCCAAACGCACCCTGAAAATGTATGTGGGTGCCCTCAAACCCGTTTGCCGCGGTGGAACAGTGAGCTCCTTTTGCTGCAGAGTTGTTTCAACAAATCTCTGACTGGGTGCCGCTTTGAGATGGTTGGTCAGCCTAGATCGGACTAAATGAAGACCTGGGAAGGAACATGTGCAATGCGTTTAACACGGCAGTACCACTATAACTATAGACGTGGATGTGACTCGGAGAGAACTGGGAATCCACCAAACAAAAGTAGCAACTGAACCCTTTTCTCTGTCTGCCACGATTGAGGAGGGCAAGCCGCCCAACATGATCCAACGGCCCAAACAATAAACAGTAGATCTAATTCTTCTAATAACTGCTCCTCTACAAACAACAACTGCAAACCGGGAGTTATTTTTTTCCGACTCAACGTTCAGTCGCTCTCATTGCTACTGCAACTAAGGTAAGAGAATCCAGAGAGGGTAGTCAACTAAAGAAGACTCGGGTATATCTCGCAAAAATGAAAGAAGCCAGCCAAAGCGTAGCCAAAAAGTTCGACGAAGTGGCATAGTATCCACCCCCAACGAATCCTTTACGTTGTGGGGAATCATGAGAAATGGCGCCAGTCGAGGAGACTTACACTTGATTCTTCGGGGCGGGATAGGCTCAATCCTTTTGTATTTCGAGAGGCTGTCCATATTGCAAATTTACATTTTAAGCCTTTGGAAGCCAAGGCCACCACCCAACCCATTGCCGAGCGAACTATAGGCTGTGAATACTTGTTTAGTACCATCATTAGG